TCTGACCTACCTGCCTCCCTGAGATCTGTCCTGAAGGAAAGTATCAGTTTATTCTAGAAGAAAAAGAGGATAATAAAGAACTAAACAAAACATGGAAATAAATTTTATTTGCCTTTGTTACAATATCCAATACTAAATTTGGAAATGTGTTAAAATCATAGCAAATTTTGCTGGACTTATTTTCTGGGTGTGATAGGCTGAAACATGATCCCCCAAAAGATAGACACATCCTAATTTTCAGAACCTGTAAATGTTACCATCTATGGCAAAGGGGACTTGCAGGTGTGATTAAGTTAAATTAGTCAAGAAACAGAAGGGTTCATGAGACTGCTAACTCAAGATCTCGTGAAACGAGAATAAATTACCTAGGACCCAATGAACTAATAAGGATGATTATAATTTTTCTTTGAAATGTTGTTGATGCTATTTGAATTCTCTGTTTCTGAGATATATGACAAAGCTCTTTCATTTTTGGTCTTAAGCTATCTAGAATCCATAACAATTTCTTATTTTGTCTATTTGTTCCCTCTCTCTCTCTCTTCCTTCCTTTCTCTCTCTCTCTCTGAGCTACTGTTTGGCCTATTTTGGGTTATGGGGGTTTTGTTTTTTTTTAAAAAAAGCCCCTGACATTTTGATTTATACCACTTTTTTCTCCCTATTTCATTTATTTTTGTTTTGTCTTTATTATTTCTTTCCTTGCACTTTTCTTTTGATTTACTGTTTACCAGATTTTCCTGGTGTTGGAAGTATAGTTTGTTATTTATACTATTTAATTTTTATAGACACAAATGTTTAAAGCTACAAATTTTTCTCTCAGTACTACTTTAAAGATTTCGCCAAAATCATGAGAAGCTGTGTTTCTGTTAGCATTCTTGTTACTATTTTCCCTTTCATTCAAGAGTTGTTTTACAAAAGGGATTTTTTTTTTTTACAGATGGAAAGTTTTATTTTTCTGTATTTTTTGTCATTAATTTCTAGATTTGTTGCATTATGATTAGAAAAGCAGTTAGTTTGCAGTACTGTTATTATTTGAAAATGTTCCATATATGCTTGATAATAAGAAATATTCCCTATTATCAAGATTTAAACATGATAATCATAAGATCAGTGTTATTGTTTATATTATTTAGTTCTTCATTGCCTTATTTATTTTTGTCTATTTCATTTGTTTTGTACTGAGAGTGGTGTGTTAAAGTCACCTGTAGTGTCTGTACCAAGAAACAAATGACAAAAGGTGAAGAAAGAAATGACTAAATACAAACTTCACCATCATAAGCCCAGGAGTCGAAGTGACTCATAAACTGAATAAAGTCATTGATATTGTTTGAGAAAATAGGAGCTTCATTTATCATCAGACATTGGCAAAAAGTACATGTGACTTGACCTTTAGGATTTATTTGGAATTGATCTTGCAATATATATATATATATATAACATATATATATATAAGTTCTATCTCCCATTTTGGTTTCTGTCATATTAAAATATAAAGGATCTCTGAAAAAAAGTAAAGTATCATTTAGAAAGGAAAATATGTTGAGGAAGACTGAAAAATATGACGTTGTTAAGCTCCATAGACTGAAAAACATGAAGTTGTCAAGCTGCATAGACAAATAACTTGAGAAGAATATTAATGATTGTGCACAGATATTTGAAGAGTTAATAGAATTCCACTGACAAGTTATCTTTCCTTTTCATAGAGAAGAGAACATGAGAAAAGAAATCCCAAGCTACAAATACTCATCTAGACAAGAAGATTTCACTAAACAGAAAATTAAAGAATAAAGGAGGTTAATTAGAAAGATAATTAAATCATTATTTCTAATACTAAACTACACTTTCTTGCATGTTAATAGAAGCTAATAAATATATTTCATATTCATACATTACAATGAATTTTGAGGTGCTTTGATCTTTACACAAATTTTATGATAAAAGAGAAATGCTGTTATTGTTATCTCCATGTTTGTCTTCAGGTATTTCTCTATAAGCAAAAGAAAGCTAGGAGATATAACCCTCTTGAGCAACAAAATAAGGTGGTCTATATATATATTTATATCCATATTAATATATGTTATAAAATGCTGTAAGTATATTTTAATACTTTTCCAATTGCTAACTAATTGTTTCTTCAGGAACCAATGCATATAGCAGATAGGACTCCTGAAGGAGTACCAATAAAAATACAGTAAAATGATGGCAGGTATGTATATAACTTTTTATTTTTTTCTATTTATTTTTTTCCTTTTTCCCCCCAAGGCCCCCCGGTACATAGTTGTATATTCTTCATTGTGGGTCCTTCTATTTATGGCATGTGGGATGCTGCCTCAGCGTGGTTTGATGAGCGGTGCCATATCCCGGCCCCGGATTCGAACCAGGGAAACCCTGGGCCTCCTGCAGCAGAAAACGCGGCGTTAACCACTCGGCCATGGGGCCAGCCCTGATATGTATACAACTTTTGACAACTCTTTCAGTTCTGTGATCCTCAGATACTCTACTTTTAAAGGATATCATTATTGACATAGATATTGACATACATATATATATATATTTATATATGCTTTCATAGATATCTCTTATGGAATACGTCTTTACTGAGGGGCTAATCATTTATGAGCAACCAATATTCCAGTCAGTCTTCCTGCCACTATCCTACACCACAGTGTGAAGGGAGCACCTATCAGAAGGTTCTACATGCTGGACAGTGATCTGGCTGCCTCAGAATCACCTAACTGTAGATTTTAATTTATAGATTGTCTGCCTTTGCCACAAATATTTGTATTCAATCTATCTTCCTGGAGTCCTGTAATATAATTTTTTAAAGCTCTCCAAAGGTTTGAATCCAAAAGAATGTTGATTTTAGGTTATACTGTCTTTTATCTTTAAAGGGTAATAAAAAATGAAAATTTATGTTTATTTCATTGGTAGATTTAAAAAAAAATTCCAAATATTATGTCTTAATATTTGTCACTTTAAAACAAATTGTTTTTATGAATTTCCTGATAAAGTTCTAGAGAGAAACCTGGATTTGTCCGTACCTCTGAGTGCTGAAGGACACCACACAAGCTCTTTTTCTATTTTTAGGGGGTGAGGAAGATTGTCCTCGAGCTAACAACTGATGCTAATCTTCCTCTACTTTGTATGTGGGATGCCACTACAGCATGGCTTGATGAGTGGTGTGTACGTCCACGCCCGGGATCCAAACCTGCGGAGCCCAGGCCACCGAAGCAGAGCATGCAAACTTGACCACTACACTGCCGGACCGGCCCCTACACACCCTTTTTTTAAAACAGAAACTCTAGAAGTGAAATAGCAACAACAGCTAAAACAGCGCCACAGGAATTTTCCAGGGAGCACACTCTGAGATGAAGTTTAGTGAACAGAAAAAAAGGCTCAAAGAAGACACCATTTATAAAACTTGGCATACGTACTACAAAAATAAAATATTTTCTTGGGTAAATAAATATTTTTAAAAATTGCTTCTGTTGTCCATAGTTGGAACACTTTAAGGATCCAGGTTCTTTTTGTTTCTGTTTTCTGTTTGGTCCGGGAGGGGAAAGTTTTGTTTCTGTTTTTGTTTTTCTCCCTAAAACAAAGCCCTTTCTCCAAAATGCCAGATTGAGATGAACACAATTGCATTCTGGAACTACAAAATTTCACATCAAAACAGGTAAATGACACTCTCAAAATAATTGTGGTGTTATTTTTATTAACTATCTTTTAATGATTTGGCAATGGTTGCTGACGAGTGTAGTGTCTCAGATGTGCTATACTATTTTGTTATCTTATTAAAAGCTCCTCACTAATTTTAGATTGGAAATATCCTCATAGTGTTAACGTAAATTGATCTGAGTCAACTTGGTCATTCACGAGTATAAATCTGTTTTCGTAGATAGCAGTTTCTTCCAATAGAGAAACCTGTTACCTATGGTAACAACCAGTAACCATCTATGGCCATTTGAGCTTTGCAGTTGCTACTAGGTAGAATGTATCAACAATTGCAAGTGTCAGATGGATTCCTACCACACCCATAATCATGTTGTCAGGATTTCCCTGTTCATTGTCTCCAAATATGACCAGTAACAGTGAAGTTTAAGATCATTAATGTCTGTGAAGGATAATAAAATTTTTTGTATTCTTATTTAGCGAGCAATGGAACACTGAACACTTAATTTTTCTTATAAAATTCAAGATTCTGAGAATACTCTTACAAAAGCAGTAACAATATGAAAAAATTTATGGGATTTCATTCAAGAAATATGTGTGCAAAGAAAAAAATTGTATTTCATAGTTGGATTCCAGGTACAACAGTGTGTGTAGGGTCATTGGGTGGACTAGATGTTAAGACATTTGAAAAGATGAATGTAAAAAAAGTGATGACAATTGGAATTCACAAGTAAATGACTCAGATAATGTTGTAAACACTCAACTCCAGATGACATGAATAAAAAGAGAAAATATTTTTAAGTGACAAGAAAGTTATTATATGGTAAGACAACTCTTCATATGGCAACATCAGATAGGTCAACAAGATTAAACAGAATGCTTCCCCTGGCTATTCGGAAAGTACACATCACCCACAGATAATGAAGTATATGGTACACATGGTGAGAAATTGTTTTAAATGGTGATTTCCTGCCAACATTCCGTTTTACTTTAACTCACAAAACACCGCTTAACATCTTTTTTCTGTTTCCCTCACATTTAGGGGTCCCCAACAGGACTAATTCAAAATAAGCATAGTCAAGCCTTTTACTTGAACAAATAACCAAGTCATTATCCACAAGACAGCAGTCAGTGTTCTGGCAGAGCATCAGAAACTAGCAATCTTTCAAGTTAATTGGAAGCCACTGCCATTTTGAATCTCATGGCAATGTAACACAATAAAAACAAAATAAAAGTACGAGAAACATATAATCATAGCCTCTTAGCAATAGAAAAGTCATATAGCCCAATCTCTATCTCAGTGAAGGATTGACAGCCTCCCTAGGAAATGATCATCAATCTCCTCCTAAACGCGTCCGTGGCAGGGAGTGTGTTGTAGAGAGAGTTCCTTTATTTGGAAAGATATTGTTGCAAAAAACACAAAATACATCAACAGCTTCTTCTACTTGACAATTTTTCAGATATTTTAAGAAGCAATGATGTCTCTGCTTAATCTGTTCTTCTGCAGACTGAGCCTTCATAGCTTCCTTAACTTGTTTGTCACAAGTGGAGCCTCCAAATCCACTAGGTGAATAATGGTTTTCAATCGTCTCTTTCGGTGAAGCACCTATAACTGCATTTAGTGCCCCATCTTCAGAATGATAAACATAGTCACAGAGGAAGAGTAAGTTTCCTAGATCTGGGCACTGAATCATAACAAATACAGTTGAATGTGTTGTTTATTTTGGGGTTTTTTTGAGAAGTATACCTGTTTACTTCTTCACTTTCGTCAGAACCAGTGGCCAAATAAAATCTCCTCCTGCCAATCCAGATCTCACATCGTTGTGAAGTCATGTATATTTTTGAAAATACAAATGCAAAATGTTACAGGCAGTCCTCCTGCATTTCATCTCTTTGGTTTCAGCTCATCATCACAGTTCTTGTGACCTCCACACTTCTGGCATACTGGACGTCTTCACACACTGAAACACATGGTGGTCTCCCCTGCCCCAAGGCCTTTGCATTTACTGCTCCTTCTGCCCAAAAGATTCTTTCCAACCTTATCCCACCCCCCACACACTTGCTTAACTCCCTTCAACTAGCTTGCTAACCTTTACTTATTCTTTAGCTCTGACTTTAAAGGTACTCCTGGAGGGCCCCAAAAAACACTCAGAATGGGTTACTGCCAGTTATATGCTCTTCCTACACAAGGAAGCGCTCATTTGTAACACTGTCAACACCTGTGTCCCACACTAAGCTGCGAGCTCCGTGAGTGCCCTGTTTGTCTTCTCTGGTGCAGCCCAGGCAGCCAGCAGATCTGACGCCTAGGAGGCCCTCAGTAAGTAACTAGTGAGTGACAGTCAATGAGAATTTTTTTTTACTATGCCGTATGTCAGCAATCTTTATCTGTCATTCATCCACCTCTTTTATAACTACTAAAGTAATAAAGAATTTCAAACAGGAAAGAGATAAGGTGTTTTAGAACATTTCATTAATTAATATTTCTAGATAATATTGTAGTTATGCTATGAATCTTCTTATTTGTTCTACTTTCTCTAGATGGATAACACAATATATTTTGCCAAAAGAGAACATAAAATTATAATATGCTGTATCAACAATATTTTTTTTCAGTAGTACTGCTTGAAAGCACATGAATCTTTCAAGAATGGGATATAGTGAAAAGAACATAAATTTCAAGACCTGTTAAACCTTTACTAGCCACATAATCTTGGAATAGTTATTATAATTTCTTAATCTATTAGGAGAAAAATCACTAAAACATATATGATAGATGATTGTAGGAATTAAATAAAATATGTTAATAGCTCTCACCACCTCCATGACCTCCCCACTCAAGTTTGGTATTAACAAAACCATTTAGTCTAAAAGTTTACCCTGGAAATTTAAAAAGTATCAATATTAAAATTACCGTCCTGTAATTTCCAGAAACAACCATTTAAAAAATTTGAAAAACATCTCCGCTCTCCAGACTTCCGATTCCTCTCCCACTTTCTCTGATTCCTGAAAGATTACAAACATAGATACAACTACAGCAAGATTTTCAGTGCCACAGAAATAATTTGCCTTTATCTGGGACTGAGAACCTACTTTAAAAACAGTGAATGGCCCTCGTGTTTTCACTCCTGTCTTTCATGCACAGTCACACACAGTTTGAAGAGTGATCTGTTTAAGCGAAAAGAACAAAAGAAACGTAGAAGTTGTGCAGTTGTGCATGCTATTTGTAATCTAATATCAGATTATGTTCCCCAACCTCCTTTGTTCATATTACTCCTAAACCCGCAAACACAGTCTGTTGCTTCTAGCATTTTTCAAAACCTCCAATTTGTTATTCAGACTTCCTGAGATTATTCTTAGAGATACACAAAAGTATAAAACATTTATATGCCCCTTTATAAAATGTGAACATTTTCTTTCACATATTGAGCTTAAAATGATCTCTAGACTGACACAATGGTATCTTTAGATGATCCTCTGAAGTTTTTCACAACTGCAGAGTTTGTATTGTATTTTAGCAACTCTTTGTATTCTTCAGCTCTCTCTCCTTCTAGGATGTTTAATCATACTTTTTTTGCATAAATATTTAGGAATTTGTTGTTTATTGAAATAGACATATAGAAAGGGCACAAATCATAATTTATGACTCAGTGAATTCTCATCAAGTGAATACATCCTTGTAACCAACTCCCAGCTCAGGAAGCAGAACCCTTCAAGTATCCAAAATGCCTTTATTCAGTCATTCCCTGTCCTTCCTCCCAAACAAAATAATCACTATCCTCACTTCTAATATATCAGATTAGCTTTCTGGGTTTTGCAGTTTATACAAATAGATCATACACTATATTCTCTTTTGTGTCTGGCTTCTTTGTTCAGCCTATTTCTAAGATTTATCCATTCTCATTGTTGCATAGTGTTCCATTGTATGAACATATCAATCATATTTATCCATTCTATCACTGATAGATACCTAAATAGCTCACAGTTTGGAGCTATTTCAAATAATGTTGATATGAACATCTAAATTCATTTCTTAATGGGGAAAATATGGATGATTTTCTGTTGGAACTATTCTTGGGAGAGAAATTGCTGGATCATACGTTATGCGTATATTCAGATTTAACAGATACCGTCAAACTGTTTTCCAAAATAGTTGCACCGATTCCCACCCCTACCCACAGTACATATGAGTGCCAGCATGATATACAGCTTTCTGAGTCCTTTACTTCTAATCTAACTATGTCTCTATGTTTAAAGTGGGTTTCTTGTACAGGAAGTAGAGGTAGGTCTTGTTTTTTTCAATTGATTCTGGAGTCTCTGTCTTCTAATTGGTATACTTAGATCATTCACAATTAAAATGACTATTGATGCATATGGTTTAGTAGCTACTATATTTGTAACAATTTTCTAACTGTTGCCCTTGTTCTTTGTTTCTTGTTGTGTCTTCTGCTCTTTCTGCTTTCTCTGGTCTTAACTGAGCATTTTATGTGATTCCATTTTTCTCTTCACTCTTAGCATATCAATTATACTTCTTTTTAAAAAGTTTTATTGGCGCTGTCTTGGAGTTTCCAATATACACTTAGAATTATTCTAATTCCACTTTCAAATAACACTATGCCACTCCATCGGTAGTACAGGTACTTTATAACAGAGTATTCCCGATTCCTCCCTCCTGTCTGATATGACATTGATGTCATTCATTTATCCACAAGCTATAATCATTGTTGCTATTACTACTTTGAACAAACAGCTTTCTGCTACATCAATCATATATAAGAAAACAAAGGATTATATTTTATTCCTTCTCTAACACCATTCCTTTCTTTACGTAGATCCGTTTCTGACATATATAATTTTCCTTCTCTATGAAGAACTTATATACACAATTCTTGCAGAGTAGGATTATTGACCACAAATCCTCTCAACTTTTTTGTCTAAGTTCTTATTTCTCCTTCACTTTTGAAGGATAATTTCAATGGAATTCTAGGTTAGTAGCTTTTTTCTTTCAACACTTCCAAATGTTTTTGGTCTTCTGAGGCTATGTTACTTGTATATGTTCTTTGAAAAATGATGACCACGTAGCTTCATGGATATATTTTCCTCATATACATAGAATAATTGCTAACATTTATTGAATACTGATTCTGTGTCAGATTCTCTTATGTGCTTCATGTGTATTTGCTCATTAATCCTCAAAAGTTTCCTGTGAGGAGATATTATTATTATTATTGCAGATGGGAAAATTAAGGTTTTTAAGTAACTTGCCATATATCACCCAGGTATCAAGTGCCAAACTACCTTGCTGTGGTGCCTCCTGATTCAGTGTATCCTGGGACATTTGAATAGAACAAATGCCCAGCTAGTTTGGTCCTTTTTTCCATTGCTAAAATATCCTTAATAATATTGCTGTATGCTGTCCCACCACAGCAGTCTTCTCAAATGACAACCGGAAAACCCTACCAGCAGCTCAGCAGATACACTGTTCTTTCATAACTCTTTCTTCCTGCTCCTATATAGGATCCTAAATCTTTAGCTGAGGTCATCCCAATGTAACTAAGTGAAAACCCACTATTTAGAGGCAGTAGTTTGTTAACATGACTGTGAATTTGTCTTTCTCCCACTCTGATCCAATCAAGAAACATCTTCCCTGAACCGAAGGAGGTGTAACCATCAGCAACGCCTTCAATCGTGGCTGCCACAGACTGCGGGCGCAAAGAGGCGGCAGAGAGAGGGCTCTTCACTGCAAGGTTTCTCCGTGTGCTCTACAGCTATGCTGCTTTAAGTGTGCTCTGGGGACCAGCTGTATCGGCATCGCCTGGAATCTTACAAATGCGGAATCTCAGGCTCCACCCAGACCGACTGAATCTTCATCTGTCAAGATCCCCAAGTAAGTTGAACGCTCATTACATTTTGAGAAGCACACCTCTATTGACTATACCTGAAGGCGTTCTTCAGAGGTCCTTAGAGTTTTGAACACTTTCAGTATTAGCTCTAAGAAAATGGGTAAGTTATAATAGTCGTCACCAACATTTTTGACCATGTACCACAATTAGCATAATTTTTTAGCATAAATGGTTAATTTCTAAATTTCTTTTTATAAATTAGGTACAGGTATTAGTATAATATATTTTGTACCTTATAAAAATATGCACAAAGCAGAAAGGGAAGAGCATAAGGTAAAGGTAAAATAAATAACAGTTTTATTGCTTTTCTTTGTTTTCCTTTTTTTTTTTTTTTTTGAGGAAGATTAGCCCTGAGCTAACTGTTGCCAATCTTCATCTTTTTGCTGAGGAAGGCTGGCCCCGAGCTAACATCCGTGCCCATCTTCCTCTACTTTATATGTGGGATGCCTACCACAGCATGGCTTGCCAAGCAGTTCCATGTCTGCACCCGGGATCGGAACAGGTGAACTCCAGGCTGCCGAAGCGGAATGTGCACACTTAACCGCTGCGCCACACGGCGGGCCCCAAAATAAACAACATTCTAAATAGTTAATTTAAATGTCACTAAAATATTTAGCTTTCACTAAAATTACTGATAATAATTAATGATATGCTATATAGCATATGTATTTATATTTATTACATAATATTAATAATAGTGTGAGAAATATAATTAAATACTCAGAATTGTAAAAATTACTTCTTTAACATTATGATGCAATCATTTAAAGGTATGATTCTAAATT